GCCAAAAAATATATAGCGACAGCCAAAAATTCCTGGAAAGTAGATCAGTTAATGAAAGCTGTGCTAAAGTAGAGCTCAACTGGCACCCTATGATTGAAGCCTTGGGTGTATATATGTACAATATGTTCAGTAAATACAGGGGCGGACAAAGTCTTTTCTTACTGGGGTGCTGATTTTTGTAGGGGTGGCCAAGCTCAGTCATCTCCCATGGTCACAAATGCTAAATTCACATGTATAATATAACTGAACTAGATGACAACACCTTCATATGTTTAAATTATGATGTCGGAAACCGATTATATCTATGAACCCTGGTTCTCTAACACGGCGTCGGCCATTTGTTGTTTTACTTTCTGTTATGGATAAACGACGGTTAAGTTTTGTTTTTCTTTTCATCCCATGAATATTAGTATCCAACTATCTGGAGGAAAAATACCACAAAAGCTCCAATTGGTGTTTCATCATTAGACCAGAAAATTTACATGAATCAGGACTACATGGCAACAGCCAAAACTTCCTGGAAAGTAGATCAGTTAATGAAGGTTGTGTTAAAGTAGAGCTCAACTGGCAGGAATCTGACCCTATGATTGAAGCCTTGGGTGTATATATGTACAATATGTACAATATATGCATTTTAATGCAGTTCTATATTCCAGGACAGGGGCGGAGAAAGTCTTTTCTAACTTGGGGGCCAAACTGAGGTGCTGACTTTTGTAAGGGTGGCCAGACTATACCTGCCAACACTCCCGTTTTTCCCAGGACTCTCCCATATTTAAGACCTACCTCCCGCCCACCTGCCATATTGTCACTTCTCCCGGGAATCTCTCGTAGTTTGCACGGTCCTCGTTCATTCATGAATAGGATCACTATATTTGTCCAAAGTTTCCAGGTTTCCAGACAACTGAAGATTGTCCTGTGTTTCTGCAGAGCCTCACAGACACTGGATTGAGGTCGGTTCAAGCCGTAAACTATATTTAAGCAGTGTTTGTTGGGAAATGAACACTTCAATGAAAGGGAAACAAATGTGAGATGTAACATTTACGCTGATAGTCTTGCACTGTGTCGGAGAGATGTATGCAGCCTCAGATTAAAGAGTGCTGTACTGCACACACAGAAATTCAAAGGCATATTGCAGCTATTATTTCTTTTTATTTCCATTTTTTTGTTGTTAAAACAAAACAAAAAAAGTGTGCAGCTTCATTTTGACTTATTTGGATGAGCAATCTAATTATAGATACTCTCATAATTAGCTCATATATAACCCAAATGTCGGCAGGTATGGGCCAGACGTGTTAATCCCCCGTGGTCACATGTGCTAAATTCACATGTATAATATAACTGAACAAGATGACAACACCATCATATGTTTAAATTATGATGTTGGAAACCCCCCCGTTAACAGCGCCAAAAAAAAAAAAAACAGGTTTTCAATGAAATATCAAGTGGAAGTTTGTGGCCTGTTACACAACCCAAACCATTTCTACTGAAATTGGCTAATCATAATTCAGGGGTTGCCATGGCCACCCCTTAGTGCAGCCACTGTTCCAGGAGTGGAAAGTAACCAATTACTCTGACTCACATTACTGTAAGTGGTGTGTAGTGGTACTTTTTGAGTAGATTTTAAGATCAGAACACAAGTATTTCCCGTAGGAACTGCTGTACTTAGCAACATTTTACACAGCATCAGTTACTGAGTTTAATAAACGCTTGGCTGGCTTCTAAAAATCAAGACTTGAAAGTGCTTTTTGTTTCACTTCCACTCAAAATATCTCTTTACACTTCATGTAAGCAACAATGTCCAGACAGCTCTTTGCATATTCTCTCTTCACTCCCTATTTCGCAATGTGATTCGATGTCGCTATTCTGCAGATAAAAGCTTATCTAAGGACAAGACTGTTTGCATGTTTGTCTGCATTCAGTTCACGCAGGGTTTGTTCAGTACTAAACATCCGTACACCACCCTAAATATGAGTACAGTGGGTCCTGAATGACAAGATTGAGTTATGGGTTTGCCCTTTTCTACCTGAAGTATTTCTTCACATATTATTTGGAACACAACAAATAGCGTCTCACCTCAAGGCTACTGTGCAACCACTGCAGGGTTTGCGTGAGAACCATTGAGACGATTTATAAGGAACAAGATGCAAATTCTGCAGAAGGTGTGTGTTGTAAAAGGAAGCCACCCTGCATTGTTATCACACAGACAGGCTCGCCGAGTTATATCACTTTAGTATCTTTCTGAATTCCATCAAAGAAGAGATAAACCGTTCTTAGAAACTGCTCACAACATGCAAATTCTTAGAAAATGTCTGATATATGTCTTGTGTTTGTTTCGTATTTTCATAACAGTCATGCGCATGAATAGCTGGAGAGACATTTATTTGGGAAATTTCAAATTCTCCGGTGAAAATGTCCCTGGTTACAGAAAAAAAAAATGCTGTTAAAGTGTTTATTACAGACTGACAGAATGAGTCCAAACAGCCCATTTCTCATGTTAACTTATGAGGCGTTTTAAAAACTCCTCAGCATAAAAATGTTTCCTGGATTGCTTAACATCTAAACTCCCGTGCTTGGAAAACATGAGCCAAACTGGGGCTTTGCAGAATAAGAAGTATTTTCATAGACGGTGGAGATCCCCCTGCACTCCACAGTTCAGTCCCACGCCTCTTCTCTGAGACACGAGGGTGGGGGTCTTTTCTGGTTTCATATGTGGATGCGGTGTGCAGATGCTGCAGTGGTAAAGGGTTGAGATGTGCTTTTTAAGAGTAAGAACAGAAACAGGGGGAGGGAGAAGCGAGAGTGGAGGTGGGGAAGAGGACAGGAAAGGGGGAGGAAAGTGAAAGGTATCAGAGGGGCTTTAGCATGGGCGAGGATTTGTGTCTGAAAATGGATGTAACATAGATTTAGCGCATCCAATTGACTCCGAGTCATTTGTTTAACTCTAGCAACAACTCTATTAAAGAAATACATTTTGTGCAATCTAGATTTATGAACTCTTTGCACATTTTGGACATGCAACTTGTAAACTGGAAAGTCGTTTTTGTGTCTCTGCAGCTATGAATAATACTCGCCGTGCAGGACTAGACGAGTAATTTTGCATTACTGGAGTTTGCATAAATATTTAGATCATGATGATGATTAACCTCATTGCAAAAAAAGTAATTACGTGATCTGGTCATATGTGTGAAAAGAAGGTCAGCGGTTATTAAACAAATACTCCCATGTTTGTCATCTGTGGTCATGTAGCAAGCTGTGTAAATTTAGAATAAGCTAATAACAGGAAGGTTTTGCTACTAAACCATAACACAAAAAGTCATGAGATAAACCCAGATGGCATCGCAACATCAGACTGAACTCTTATCATTTATCAGGCATGTGTGTCAGTCATTATCTAAATGGGTTAGTGACTTACAAAAAGGAAGTATTCAGTTGCATTTTACCTGAAGTTAAGGGAAAATCCACGATGACACATGCACATTTTTTTATTCTATCAGAACAAGGAAATGGATATTTGTGCTTACAAAGTGATCTCTTAAGTGTTTTGTCTAAAGCCTCACTCGTGTTTCATGTTGAATTCCATTTGGCTTGTTATACGATAAGGGAAGTCAAACATGTTTTACCGCACCAGTAACAAACTCTTACAGCTACTGTGTGCAGGTTTAAAGGGATTATGTTATCATAAAGAAGGCAACATAATACAAAGACATAGCAACATTAGGTTAGACTTAAGGTGCAGTAATAATAGATAATGATTCCTCGACATATGAGTCACTGGTAAGAAATAGTTTAGTGTTAAGTTGCAAGATGCAGCACTCTACATGACATGGTTAAGAGGACAGATGGATGTACTTAATGACAGATTCATACCAGTAATAAAACTCGGGCCTTTCAAAGCAGAAATTGACCTGCCAAAGAAGGAAAAGCCCAAATATAATTAACACTAATTACAACATATGTATGTTCCAGTTAGTCATGGCCACGACTTGAACTGTGTAATTTCTTAGAAGGAAATGTACAGGTGGAAATCAAACTAATAAATGACTGTCTACTTGTTCCATGTACGCTGGCTCACAGTCACAATGACTTGGCATGGAAAGTTGAATGAGTGCAGAGTCCTCAGCTGGTTTGTGTATAACCTACGCTTTTGTAAAACTCAGAGCAAAATTAGACCGACTGCAAAAAGTCATCATACCTGACAGCTGTGAACAAAATGTTCCATTTATTGTACTTTAGCAAACTATTTACCAAGATACAACGATCAGCGTGACAGAAGCTTACAGATAGGTCATTTATTGTACTAACTGTCTTGTTCTTGAATGACCTCACTGTGTATTAAAATAAACATTACAAATACTCAAATCTGTGAATTCCCCTTGAATCCTCTCCCTCCATTTGATCCAGCTCGGATGTAATCATAAGTATGACTTCACTAAAGAGGAAATAATCATCAAACTATACACATGATATTTATAATACTGATGGAAAACGAGGAAATGGTGAGTTTTGTCTCTAAAAATATCACCCGGCAGGTCACACTGTGTCTGGTTGACCCATTAGTTCATGTACGTTTAAATTTAACAGTGAAGTGAAAGTCTAACCTGAATCAGTCTAGGTTAAAGTAAGAATCAATTTTCTTATCAGTTAGGCCATCTTTAATTGTTGGAATTAAAGGGATATTCCAGCATAAAATTAATTTGATCATTCTTTATAATTTCGTTAAAGTTATAATCACAATATTAATCATTTTGCTCTTCAGACGCGGTAGTTCTTCTGCCTTATCATCTCGGTCTGATTGAATTTCGAGGAGGTGTCTAACTCTGTGTTACGGTGTGTTTGAACCTAAATTAATTTTACGCCAGAATATCCCTTTAACATAATATAGGCCATTTTTTGAGTAGTCAAACAATTCATTATTATTTAATTTTTTTAATTTTTTGTGTTGGGTTAAAGAATTACATTTTTAAAATGTTATAAGAGACAGGTGCTTGTTGTTCAAAAGATGGGATTTTTTAATGTTTATTTTTATATTTATGGGGGTCCTTCAAATCTCGCCTAATGCACCCTGACATGCAGCATACTGCATACAGCTGCCCCTGATATTGCCTGATTTTATTTAGATTTTGATAAATGCCTGACAGTGTTGACAAAAAGTGAGGACACAACATTGAAACCTTAAAAAAGAAGCATGTGCCACTGAAAAATAAATCTTTTACTTGCATAGGATAATATTAAGTGTTTTTTAAACTGAAACTACTTTTTTTGTTCATATAATGAACTTCTGTATACACTTGACCCCTCTCTGTGGACACACTGTTTCTGATGTATTTAGAAGAGACTTTGCTGTAAACATTTAATGTAACAATGATAAATTCAAATTGAAGGGAATAATTGTGTTCAATACATTCTAATATTTACTCAAAAAGACATCAACAGTAGAAAATTATTTTAATTTTTAAAATAATAGCTGCTACATGTCGGACAGGTTTTGTCCCAACCCCCGAGAATCAGTGGACTAACATACAGTTTATTCATCTTATTAATGTCTTTACGGAAGTTTAGGTGTAACTTAAGCACGAAATAGACATATTTTAGTTCACAAAATTCACACTTTAGGACTGAAGTTCATTAAATTTGTCTTAAACTCTTTAAACTCTACACGCTCAAAGCCTCGTAGTATTGTATCACCATGGAAACAAAAAGGCCTCTCATACCGGATGCAGTTCCGACTCCATCAGTTGAACTTCCGGGCGAAACATTGTGCATGAAGAAAAATCTGCTTTGCAAATTCATTTGGACCAACTTCTTGACCAAACTAGCTTTGTAAAATGTCCCGAGGGTCGAGTGCGGGGTTTGATCGACACATCACCATCTTCTCTCCTGAAGGAAGGCTCTACCAAGTCGGTCAGTCGATGATTATGTTCGGACAAAAGCCGGCTCCAGGGGCTAACTTGTTTGCTAGCAGGCTAAATGCTCTGTCATGGTTCGCGTAGCTGAGCTTAAAAGAGAGGAATAAAACTCAGAGGAAGAGAAAGAAGAGTTAAATATGGGGGTGAAAGTTGAACTTATGAAGAGGTGGTTGTTAGTTTTCTTGTATTTTACCTCAGCGGTTCAGAAAAGCGCGAACAAACCTGCAGTTGAGTTAGCATCAGAGTCAAAGAGGCTGATTCATGACTGAGACTGAAATCATCTTATTCAGAGAAATAATGCTCTCCTTCTCTGTTAGTTTGAGTTTTTATCATGATTTTATAATAATTTTATCATACTGAATTTCACATGTACACAGATACGTATATTAATGCACTAAATACTGCATTGTTATGAGTTAAAGGGACAGTTCACCCTAAAACAAAAAACACTAATGCTGTTTCTATGATTTAGTAAGATTTTTTTTGCTGGACTGACGGTGAACAGATGATTTGAACAAAAAATAAATAAACATTTTGAAGCTTTATTAAAGTATAGTTCATGGTAAAACTGCTGTATTGAATTGTATTAGTTTGTCCAGGTGATTTATAATGTTTTGACTGACCAGTGTACATTCCCATTAGAAACCCTACATATAGACCCAACAAACATTTGTAGACCACATTGATATGGCATCACTGATGACTGATTACCTAATTGTTAGATTGAGGGGATAATCTGGTGTAAATCTAATACAGGATCAAACACACATTAACACCGAGTTAGACACCCCCTCAAGAGATGAATGTTGCTGACCGCTTGCTTCTTAAGATTCAAAAAGTTGCGATATTACCCCACCGACCAATCACAAAGCCCCTGATCTGTGTTGTTTTAATGCATAATTATATTAGTAAATTGGTGCATATTTGGCTATGCATGCGGGATTCTGCAAAGAGCTACAGAAACCCTCAGTGTACACTTTTGCACAGTCTTATGTCAGACCTCTATGTAAAGCCTAAGTTACTTAAAGGGATATTCTGGTGTAATATTAATTTAGGGTCAAACACACTGTAACACTGAGTTAGACACTCCCTGCAGAGATGAATTTTGCCGACCGCTTGCATCTCCAGTTTTACCAACTTTAGTAACGACCACAGGATGCCACTCTATAGCCACAAATAATGCTCAGAGCAGCACCTAACTTCATCAATAGGACATATAGGGCCCCAGCCACAGTATTAGCCACCAAACATCTTTTTAACTTTGCCTGATTTCTTTAGCAAAGAGATTAAACACAACTCACCTACTCTCTTCCAGCAGCCGCTTGTTTGTAGCGAGACCTCAGGCCAGTCCATTACAGACTACAGCGGAGTTTCGCAGCTCAAGGAAGAACATCTATGATCATTTCTTGATGGAAATGCAATCAGACCAAGACGATAAGGCAGAAGAACTACTGCGTCTGTAGTGAAAAATTATTATTATTATTATTACTTTAAGGAAATAATAAAGAAATGATCACAAATGTTCTTCCTTTAGCTGCGTCACCTCAATGTAGTCCATAATGGACTGGCCTGAGATTTCTGTACAAACAAGCAGCTGCTGGAAGAGAGTAGGTGAGTTGTGTTTAGTCTCTTTCTAAACAAATTAGTCTAAGTTAAAAAGATCTTTGGTGGCTAGTTCTATGGCTGGGACCCTATATGTACTGTTGATGAAGTTAGGTGCTGTTCTGAGCATTATTTGTGGCTATAGAGTGGCGTTTTGGTCGGTGTGTGACTCCTCAGACCGCTGTGTATTGCTATCCTGCGGTCATCGCTAAAGTTGGTATAACTAGAGAAGCAAACGGTCGGCAACATACATCTCTCAAGGGCGTGTCTGAGTTGGTGTTATGGTGTGTTAGACCCTAACGCCAGAATATCCCTGATATTGGCTGATAAAGCTGATATTGGTATTTTACAACAGCTTGAGGATCACCGATATGAGCTGATCGACTCTCACTGATCAGCTGTTGTAAACTGAAAACAGTTTGCTTCAAAACCCAAATGCACGCTGCGACTAAAACTCAGCAACTTTGGGGAGAGCTAAAACAGCCCATTGGCAACTTGCAAAATACACATCATGATTATCTGAAGAGTTGGGAGCTGCAGAGCTGCTGTGAAAGGCTGCTGCACCAAAGCAACAAACTAAAAAAACTTAAAAGATGGACCTAAAAAATTACAGAGAATGTGGTTGAATTAGTTGCTTTGGAGAACCGCCCATCTCTGAGGTAGAGAGTGCACCTGTTTGTCGTCTTATGCAACTTTAGCATCCATGGTATGCCCTCACTGCACTTCACTTCGTGTTAGCGCAGGCAGTATTACATAAACATTCTACCATACTGGGTATAATTGTGTTTTTTGGGGGGGAATTGTTCAACAATGTCGGTTTCAGCTCAGGACATCTCTTATTGAATTTGTTTTCTTAACTCTTATGAGAATTAAAAACTTGTGTTTAGCTCTGTTATCAGGACAAATCCAAGTATCAGATCAGGACATGGTATTTGCAGATGATATATCTTTTTATGAATTAGATCAGGATCAGAGAAAGCTGATTAAGATGTTCCTGCTGATAACAGTTATTCCCTTGTTGCTTCAATTTCCTGTTGTTGGACACAGTTGTACAAAATGACTCAATTGCTTAAAATCACTGAAAGCTCTGCTTGTTTTTTTTTTCTGACTTCCGAACATTCACGCTGTCCCCAGCTGGACAGAGACGCTCTAAGATGCTATCTTGTGTTTCTCGTTTGCAGAATATGCTTTCAAGGCCATCAACCAAGGTGGACTTACGTCAGTAGCTGTCAGGGGGAAGGACTGTGCGGTCGTTGTCACACAGAAAAAAGTACCGGTGAGTTGACATCAGCTGTGTGTGTTTCAGTCGGGCCCTTTTTTTTTTTTTTACATAGAGATTCCACCACAGCACTGAAACAAAGCTCTGCTGTTACCATGCCTTTCTTTACTTTTACACTGAGTCACACAACAGCGAAATATCACGGCCCCGCTGTGTGACTTTAAACAGCGTTAGAGCGTCAACTTCACACGCACAGACAGTGCTGTTCTGCCTTCCAGCTCTGATGAGTCCACAAACAAGTTTCGCCTCAGTTAGGATCTTTGTTACGTCCTGCTTTTCTCAGCTCAGAGGGATTACATCCCACCACCACCCCACTTCTGTGAATATTACGCAGATGGAAACAGAGCCCCCACAGTCTGTCTTCAAAATTAGGCTTCTGTGATAATCATCCTGCGCTTATGACACTTGTTATGTTATTTACACATGAAAAAATTTTGCTTTTATTTCAGCTTAACTTGGTCGGAAGCAGTGTGAAATCAATTAATGAAAGAAATGCTTAATGAGTTGCCGTAATTTCTTACTGCTAAGGAATCCTTGTATACTGGGAAATGATGTAACATTTAGGAGGTAAACCAGGGTCTTTGAAAACTGAATGTTGTTTCAAGACTCCAAAGGACAGTGTAGAGTTGTGAAATTTGTCTTACTGGTTGTAGAAAGACTTGTTTTTGTAAAGTAAGGATGTGATTCTGCCAGAAGTATCTTAATATCCGTGAGGATGTTTATTTTTGTGTGTCTGATTTTTCCTCTCTCTTAACAGGACAAGCTCCTGGACGCCGCCACAGTGACCCACCTTTTCAGAATAACAGATAATATTGGATGTGTAATGTCTGGGATGACAGGTAAGAAAGAGACTTTAAAGTGTTGTAACTTAAACCTGGCACCTGATATTTGCTAGATATCGATATATATATATCGCTGTGACAAGAACAGAAATCTTCCCTCTGTCTCACTCTCTCATGTCTTCCAGCTGACAGCAGGTCCCAAGTTCAGCGAGCCCGCTATGAGGCAGCCAACTGGCAGTACAAGTACGGCTACGAGATCCCAGTGGACATGCTGTGTAAGAGAATTGCTGACATCTCGCAAGTCTACACACAGAACGCTGAGATGAGACCACTTGGCTGCTGTAAGTGTGTTTACTGGTTTGGAGCTAAGTGAATCAGTGCAGTTGCGTGTTTGGATATTAAAAAAATATATATATAACCTTTGTTTTGTCTTCTGATGCCTGCAGGTATGATAGTGATCGGTGTAGACGAGGAGTACGGCCCCCAGGTGTACAAATGCGACCCTGCAGGGTACTACTGCGGCTTTAAGGCCACAGCTGCAGGAGTGAAGCAAACAGAAGCCACCAGCTTCCTGGAGAAGAAAGTGAAAAAGAAACTGGACTGGACCTTCGAACAAACTATTGAGGTACAAACTAAATCTCTTAGCGTGCAGGTGGAGAAGCTTCAAGAACATGAAAGTGAAAGTAAACTTTTACAGCTGTTTGGTTTGATTACGTTTATAACTGTTATTATGATGTCCCACGCAGATTCGATTTATGATAGCAAAGATAAACGATAAACCCTCTCTTGTCTTCCTTTTAGACGGCAATCTCCTGTCTGTCAACTGTTCTCTCCATCGACTTTAAGCCCTCTGAGCTGGAAGTGGGCGTGGTCACAACACAGGAGCCAAAGTTCAGGTAAAAAAAAAAAACAGCACCGAACTTAAATAGTAATTTTTGCTTTTTACGGTTATTTTAGTCATCAAAAAGTGATTCCTGATTAGATTTAGCAGATTATGTCCGTGTGTTGAGGTGCAGACTTTCACCTTGGGTCAAGAATTACATCAGCTAATGTCAATTAGTTTCATTCTCACTCATATATCAGAGCTGAAGCTTTAACTGCTGGTTATTTTCATCATCAGTAGATTGGCCGTCATGTTGGGACATCATGTTAAGAAAAGGGAAGTTCTCTGGAAGCCTCATGTTTACATTTCTGTCTAATTTTACATCATGACATTGAGCCAACTGCTTAATACTGTGAAAGGATCACACTTTCATTATCCTGTCAGACTGCTGTATTCTTTTAAATCCTGTTTTGTTTTTATCTCGGCGAGTTAATTTCCCAGAAACAGATTGCCGGTATGTAGGTAAGACGTGTCATCCTGAAACCAGAGTAAGACTTATAAAGATGAAGATAAGACCACCACCAGTGTCATGGTTTAAAGATACTCCGAGGAGCTTTAAACAGGTTGAGAAACAGAGTGAAACTGATACCGACGCCCTTTTATGACCTTCAGAAGCAAACAAGACCATCAGGGACGAGGACTGCTGATCATTTGGCCTTTGTGATTAGAGCTCAGGTTTCAGACGGCAGCCTTTTTAACACTTTTCCTTGGCAGTAACTGAAAATACGGTCTGACCTTTCCCCTGATTTTCACCATCTGTTGTCTTTGTGGACGCTGATTAATCAAGAAGCTGTAAAATGACTGCAGAGTGTTAGACTATCAGGGTTTAAAGCACAATAGTAATAATACATGTTCACTTTATACGAGTTTCCCACACTGGGCCTGACCTCATGCCAGGGGGACGATGGTTTATTAATGCGTTGGTATTTTTTGTGTTTTTATCAGTGAATTCTTTTGATATGACTCTAAAATAGTCATTTTTATTTCCCTTCAAAGCTCTTTTATCCGACCTGAAGTTAGGAAGTTTATCTCCTTTCTTTTTATGGCCAAAAAAAATCATTTCTGCTCAAATATGAGATGCCGATAACAGCATGTATCCGGGTTTTTGCTTGAATTTTTCACACCTGGTCAGCCAGCAAGTCGATAAATCAGTCAGTGCAGATTTGGACAGGGTTAAATGTATATAAAGTCCCACTCTGATCGTTTTATTTTTTACTACTCAAAGTGTTCTCAGTGGTTTTGAAATTGTGATTCTGAAGTTTTTAGCCAAAATCACGTTACCTGTGTCATTTTCTGCAGAGCTCCAGTAGCTCATTAGCAATTCGCCTCTGAGTCGTGGATGGAGACAGCGCTGCTCTGCACACTTCTCTTCACGCTAGCTTGCTCGAGAAAACCGAATTATTGCCTTACTCCTATTTAGACCGGACAACTGAAGTGCCTGAGTTTGAGAACTATGATTAAGACACCCAGATAATGCGATTGGAATTCGATTTTCTCTACCATGTAACCAGTGTAATCGGAGTATGATGGAACAATCAAACACCAGAGAAGAGAAGTAGCGTGCACCTCATCTGCAGAATATGTAGCGCATACATCCTGTACAACAAAAACAACGCTGTACGATGCTCCATCTTCTTGCTCCAAAATGCCCGGCAGCAGATGAAGCCACTTCTGACGTCTGGCACGGACCTGCTGTTGTTGTTGACAGTTGTCTGAGGTTCACCAGAAACAGCGCCACTGAAAAGACCCATGTCGACCCCTTCTTTTGGGGAGGAGGACACGTCCACGTCAATAATTCCTCAATAATTCCGTCCTCAGCTGCATGTATACGCGGACAAGGAGAGAAGTCCGATTCTGCAAATAAAAAAACAAATTATGAGCTTCATCTGATTAAGCTGTGCATGTAAACGCACTGGATGTCTTTAGGGACATGATGAAAGTTAATATCACAATTAGTTTTCGTATGAGCATTGCAATCCACTAACCCACACGCTTCTTCGGCGATCATCCTCTCTGTTTCTCTGAGTCTGGTCTGCATAACAGGGCTCTGGGGGTGGAGCTTGGATTTGTGATGTAAGAAATCTCACTGTGTCTGAGCCTGCTGATTTGGTCTGCAATCCACTCACAGCAATTTGAATGCAGAAATACTCAGAAATGCAATTTTGCACTTCTTTCTCTCATATCATGTCCTGTAGAATCAGAAAAATGCCGTATGAACATGTTGACATCGAGAAAAACAGGATTTTCCTCAGAGCGGGTCTTTAAATGTTTCGATAACTGACTCACCGATCCCGTCTTCTCCTCCAGGATCCTGACAGAGACTGAAGTGGACACCCACCTGATGTCCCTGGCGGAGCGGGACTGAGAGATGCAGAGATGCTTCACCTGTTGGACTAAGATAGAGCATGATGGGATATGAAGTTTCCAGAAGGAGACTGGTGTTATCTTTGTTTGCTGTACATTTACCCCACTGTTTCATTCAACAATAAAAAAAAAAGTTTTTGGAGTAAAATAACAAACGTCTTTGTCTGTTTTTTCTTTTTATCCACATGGAGTAGTCGGCATATTCAAGTGTTCAAATATATATAGTATGTTTGCGTTTGTTTTGTCAGCTGTGTTTTCATCTGTCGGTTGTATTTAGCAGCAGGGGAAACATTTCTGGGAACTCGAGCGAGCGCAGAGTTCTACCTCTGAGCTTCCTGTTGTGGCTGATAGTGCTCTAAAATCACATGTCACACTGAGGAGCTACAGAGAGGTAGTTTTACTACACGCTGATGCAGACCAGATTTGACCTCATTTTCTCAACATTTTGGCACATGTAAAATGTCAGAAATAGACGACTTCAACCACCGGAAACATCCTACTACACATTTAGTTTCTCTTTGCAAAGGGGAAAAACTGTTTCCCTTGAGATCTCAGAATGGTTTTTATAAAAGCTGACATACGGCCTCTCGAGTGTGTGTCAGGGGGGAAACAGTGGCGAAGAATTCTGGTCAATGGCCTCCTTAAGTTAGACCCATACAAGCACTCAAACCATCAGCAAATATCTCGAGATAATCAGCACGTCATTCTTAGTTTCTCTGAGACCGTTTCCCATCAGCCGTGTTGATTCACCTCTTTCCTGCACTTCTCTCTCGGTTTTTTTGCAGGTATGACAGAAAGAGGAATCCAGCTGCAGCGTGCGTCTTCGTCCTTAAAAAAAAATGCAGAAATAATCTCCAGGACTTTCTGCTTGGATGACTGTTTAAAGCCTCAGTCTCTTATGTAACTTCCACCGTCATGAAAAACAGCGACAGTTAAGTCCTTGGAAAATTCCCCCTGCAGTCCAGCACAGGTAAACATCTCTGTTAATGTTTAGCACCTTTGTGGACGATTACAGGCTGGCTTCGGTAGTTTACACTGCTATTAAAGATAATCGTGCAGGGGACATTTTGTCAGCAGAGATTATATGCTGGCTCCAGGCGTGTTTTATTGTGGTAATCAAATCAGAAGGGGATTCCTTTTTACATGTGCAGGAATTACAATCCAATATAAAAAACAAATTTATGAAGCCCAATTCAAGACAATATTTTACGAAAGTGCAACGAAATAAGGAGAGTAACATTTAAAAAGACAAAAGGATGGTGGCATGAGAGCTATAAGACTCAAAGAAAAGAAAAGGGACCCTCATCCTCAGCTGCAAGACAAATAATCTATAAGACAGAGCGCTGGTTTGGCACAGAGGTGTCAGTCCTCTTCAAAATTGCTGCAGGTTTGATTCCTTTGGTGCATGTCGTCCCCCGCTCTCTGTCCTCACAGCTCCGTGCATCAGAAAGTAGGTTTGATGGATTTTGCAACTGCGCTCAGGGATACTGTCGAAGTTCTTGAAATTTCCTTGGACTGACTGACCTTCACGTCTTTTAGTCATGATGGAGTGTTATTTCTCTTGACGTCATATACTGGATTATAAATGGGGTTGCATAAGGCTGATCACTGTACAGGGCCGTGCACTCATGCTACCTCTGCACGACACAGCTGATGGTCTCAAACACACACACAAAAGTGAGAATTTCCACCAATTAAGGAACCATAACACTATAATTCTTCATTTACTTCATATCTACCATTCATTATTTCTGACAAGCTTCCCTTTATAACTCAGCAGAGTCTTTAAACCACATATCAAATGTTTTTAACTTGAATAAAACTTTCAGGATAAAGGGTTAATTAATCTTAATCAGACACTATTCACACTTGAGATCCCACCTGTTCACACTGCAGGTCAATTCCGATTTTTTTAACCATTTGTGACACATTTCTGATTTTTTCATGTAAGTGTGAACAGTGCAATTCTGATTTGTTCTAATCCGACCCAGGCCTCTTTTGTATGTGGATATAAATCAGATATGTATCCGATGTGACTGCAGTGTGGACGCTCAGGTCGCGTTCATCCAACCTATACGTCAACAATATGCGACAAACGTCACCATTGTTCGACAACACAAACAGGCGCGGAAAGCAATTTGTGCTTCGTGCGCATGCGGGTCACTTCACGGATGCATTTCATTCACATTAGAACAAAAAAATCTGAATTGTGCATCATAACCTGCAGTGTGAACGTAGCCTTATTCGTTTAAATAACATCCAACTGTGGTTAAGAACTGTATTTGCTGTTATTTATAATAAATTCCTTGCAGGTGTGTTACAAGCTAATAATAAATATGTTAATTGTTAATTCACCCTTGTAAAGTCTTATTAATGTTAATACAGATTTTTTTGATAGGTGTAAAAACTGTTAAGTTAGTAAAAAGAGCCTATGAGTGTGTTATAAACAACAACAAACATGCTAATGAAGCTTTTCTTTACACATATTCAACACTTTCAGAAGCTTATGAGCATTTAAACGTCTTAATTCCTATAACCCTTAAACTTGCTAAACTATCGTCATGAATATTTTCTTTTTTTCTTGATATAATTAAATCTTTAAAGCTCTTGTGAGGAGTTTTTAGCATTCACAGAATAGACGAAAATCCATGCTGATGCCTTTTAATGATATGCAAAAGCAAAAAAAAACCCTGTGAGCGATAAGACTGAAGATTTTTACATCCTTGTTTTTATTGCCTGAGGCCGGTGCAAAGAAAAAGGTCCAAGTGTTGTAACTGAAGAAACACAACGTGACTTTTTCACTACTTTAAATTTCTATGACTGTTTCTTTGCCTTTAAGATAAAAAAGGGAAGTGAAAATGATCTTCAGATTTTCTCTATACTGTTAAATACATATCCGCTTTAACACTGAAATGTGCATTGAGACATTCCTTAGTATTGCTCTAACTTTTAATGTAATGAAGGACTTAAGTATCAGTCGAATGATCATAAATCCTGTTTGTGTCCCGCTGCTAAAGTTGCGGAGAATTCTTGTACTTTTCATTCTCCTGTAAAAGTTCCTGGTCACCGTGACACAGACTTATCATCTCATCCTTATCAGCCCGTTTCTCATATTTGGACACTTCCTCCCTTTTATTCCCTGGGTATTTTCAGTAAATACTACTTCCTAGCTGCTTGTCAGCGTTCGTACCAGAGCGGGTGGAATATCTAACAATAATATGTTCCTCTTATGCCGTAAAGGGACTTTCAGTGCGGTGACTCAGAGACCTCGTGACCTCGCCCCAACAAGGAAATCCCAGACTGTTCCAAGCGGTAGAGAGTAATTTTTTTTTTTTGAGTCTGAGCGTCTTTCACAAGTCAGGGTGATGACTCTGTGCCTCGTCATTCTGAGTGAGAAATGAGGCTGGAAAGGCCGCGAAGGAGTCATCAGGCGGAGAGAAATTACACTCTTACTAAATGAGGGAAATACACAAAGAGTTTTAATATTCAATAAACTTTTATTCTTATCAGTTTTAATAATAGTGTTTAAATTCACACATTTGTACAGGTACAAAAATAATATCTCTGTATTTACATCAATATATTACAAATGTCAAGTATGTACACATCAGTATAGATTTCTACAGTTTACAGAGGGACACGGAGGTCATGGTCTTGCTGTACTGTGGTTTCAGATCACATCGGACTTGACCACTACGGACGCCATCTTCATTCATGATTGTGTTCCCAGGACCAGCTCTGTAGATCTGGACCCGGACCCGGACAGGGGACGTGGACTTGTAAGTCCCTCGTTATGGAGGCTGTTCCCGGGCAACCCTGTAGCAGCTTTACAGTCGTTCACACCACCGGAGGAGCGATGGTCGTGTTTATTTTCCGAACTTTATGTCGTCGTACAGCTGAAGGAAAGAGGAAAAGCGGATGTTAGACTCCATTCGACTCTAATTTTATCGTAACGTAAAGCGACAGAACCGAACTTTTGATCTAAACTCACCTCATCGTCCGATACGTCTCCCTCCTCCATGTCGCTCTCTTCCGATTCGCTCTCGGGCAGCGCCCTCAGCTCTTGCGCCGTCTTCTCAAACAGCTGGCAGCGGATCTCTTCGTTGTGGCGCCCGTAGGTGAGGTGGTACGGCGTGAAACCGCCATAGTTGAAGCAGTTCACGTTGGCGCCGAGTTCGAGGAGGCGACTGACCAGCGTGGGGTTCTGGAGATCCACGGCGAGATGGAGCGACGTTCTCCCACTGCACTGCTCCTACAGGAAACAACGTAGAGATATAACGTTAGATCCTCTGTGCGTTTTACTCAGATGGAAATTTAGAGCGGCTTTGTTTTGGGTTAATCGATACATACCTGTGCGTTGATGTCAGCACCCAACCGGATGAGGCTTTCAACCAATGAGATGTAGCCGTTAATGGACGCCAGGTGGAGACAGTTGTGTCCTTTAAAGGAAAACCAGGAGAAGCTCGGTTAGAAAAACTGCTTTAGTGGAAATTTCCAGCATGTGAGTCTCCTTCTGGATGTTGTTTTATTTGGATTCTTACCATTATAGTTGGGGAAGGACAGGATGGAGGTGAGGTGGCGTTGGGAGTTCTGGGTGATGACGCCAAAACAAGCGAGAGAGCCTTTCTTGCAGGCGATGTGGAGGGCTGTGTTCCCGCTGTCGTCGGCTAGCCGTGGGTCGCAGCCGGCTTTCAGGAGCTTCTCCACCAGCTGGGACTGCTCTGTGATCACTGCCAGGTGGAGGGCGGTCTAAGGAGGAAAATACACTTCTTTAAAATCCTGTTTTTAAAGATCATTTGTGTGTGTAATAACTCATTTATAAATGTGGGTGTATTTGGATCTGACTTTACCTGTCTCTGGTGGTTCTGCACATTGAGGAAGGGGTGGTTGTGAGACAGTTTGATCATCTGGAAAGCATGATCTGTGGCTTCATGAATGATGGCCAAGTGAAGAAGTCTGTGGGTTGAAAAAAAGAGGAGTCTGATTAGTAAAAAGAGTAGTGCTCAGAAAGAAAAAAAAAACTACGCAGAGGAAATGTTTCCAGCCAAATAATGAAGAACAAAGCCTGAGCGCTGGAGTGTTTCGCAAGAATGGAGTTTTGTCGGGTTATTTCCACCAGTAGTGGCTTGACACATCTGATGCTTTATCAGTTCCTGGCAGAGCGCCAGGGACTTTCCTGAACTCGCAAAGCGGACTTAAGCGCCGCCCAGACTGCGCTCTCAGCCAAAGTACACACACACACGCACACACACACACGTATTACGTGCGTGCTGCGCTGCACAAACACACTTTAAAAGGCCTGTTGTTTTCGTGCAACTTTTACCCCAATGAATGCCAATTTCTGCTGGATTTTTCCAAGTTTATTTTCAATCCTATTGCGCATGAAGTTTAGGTTTTGCGCACTGGTGCAAAAAAAAAAAAACTCCTGACGCATTTAGATTTGCAAATGCGTAATTGCGCAAAAATACAAAAAAATAGACAGAAAATCAACTTACGTGTCACCGTCTTCAGTCACTACATTCATCCAAGGCTCGTATTCCTGCGTGTGATCCTTGTGCGTGTTCACTGTCATGTCCTCAAAGACGTTCACCAGGTCGTCCTCTTTCAAGGAGTCCAGGCCGGAGTCAAAACGATCCTCCTGGCAAGGCATCATTTTCCCGTGTTTGGCCTCCATGTTATAGTCCATTTGGTTGTGCTGAGATACTCTCTGTACGTCCATGTTGATTTCTTGCAAGACGCACTGCTCCGTCTGTGTTCACTGTTCAGAAGAGTCTGGTGGAGAGGAGGGAGGCGCGCTGGGTTTTGTGCGCTCGGCTGGGCGGAGCTCCAGCGGGGAATTCCACTTGACTTATCTTAGAATAAGCAAAGGGAAATCACACCGAGCTGGGCTTTTGTGCGACAAAAAACCCCTCAAGATACTCAGAATGAAAACTGGTAGTTTCCTATTAGACACCTATTTTTCACCTGCGATGTAGGTTAGAGGACATGACTTTAGGTCTTTTTGATGAATGACTCGATGGGCATGAATGAGAGAGGGAGACTGCCCCTGGCAAGCTCTGCAAGAATTCCCTTCTGCAGAGGGGGAAATTATGTTTCAAAGGGCTAACCAAAGCAGCTTTACATAATTTCCATTATTTTCCATGACTGCTCTGACTGGCGAAGTTTAAATTCACTCAGTAAAGACATATCCCATGTCCAGTCTGCTGCTCGCTTACAGATTAACACCAAACTTTGACCTGTGGCACCTACACACACCTACACTAATAACCACAGGGTGTGTAATTTTGAAACTTCCTCATTCTGTGTCTCCAACTATATGATATATACACATACTCTTGCTTGCACTGAGAGCCAACCCAAGCCTCAATAATGATTTTAGGGCCCTCTATTTCTGCCAATAGTATTGATTCTTAATCATTCACACAACTACAACAGTATAAATTTAATGTATTTACACATTTAAGGGGGTGGCCTAGGTAATGACATAAATAATACCAATGCAACCATACAAATAATACCAATGAATGACTCATGAATGATGTTCAGGGTGCCACATATGGTTTGTAATCTCAGAATGTAACACATTCAGGATGCTCAGTGCACACTGCGCAGCAGGAGGCACAAAATGGTAGCAAAGCTTTGACATATCAGCAGTAAGAACCATATCGCAATCATGTTTTTACTTTATTTTATTTTATTTTTACAATAATTTATATTTGTTCATACAGAAAGCATCATGCAAAAAAAAAAAAATATTATTGTTATTATTATTTTTGATTGCTCTTGGGGGCCCCCTACTGGCTGTGGGGCCCTAAGCAGGCACTTAGGCTATGTTCACACTGCAGGTCAATTCCGATTTTTTAACCATATTTGACACATATCTGATTTTTTCATCTAAGTGTGAACAGTGCAATTCAGATTTTTTCAAATCCGACCCAGGCCTCTTTTGTATGTGGATATAAATCGGATATGTATACGTCATCAATATGCGACAAACGTCACCATTGTTCGACAACACAAACAGGCGCGGAAAGCACGCGGGTCATTTCATGGACGCATTCTGTTCACATTAGACACCGCATTTGTTGTTGTAATGTGAACAACCGCACAAAAAGGTCGGATTTAAACAAAAATCGGAATTGTGCATCATAACCTGGGGTGTGAACGTAGTCTTAGTTCTCTCATGCCTTGAGCTGGCTCTGCTTGCTCTGCTTCACCCACATTTGAGATATGATAATTTAACAAATTTTTATGGGATAAATTCTTACTCATAAATTTACGGCTGATCTGACTAGTGCTGAGCTTTATGATAGAATTTGCATATTACTTTCATTTTGAGGGGAACAGACTATAAAAAGGGTTGAGTGAAAGGGAATATATTCATATCCAAGGATGTATTTCATATTAAAATTTTAAATCTTTTATTTCTGTAATACATCCTGCAAATTCTCCAGTGTACAAAGATATGATAATTTAACAAATTTTTATGGGATAAATTCTTACTCGTAAATTTACGGCTGATCTGACTTGTGCTGAGCTTTATGATAGAATTTGCATTTTACTTTCATTTGAGGGGAAGAAACTTAGGGTTGAATGAGAGAGAATAGATTTGTATCTATACAGATGTATTTTATTACTAATTTTTTTAATCTTTTATTTCTGTGTTACATCCTACAGATTCTCCAGTGTACGGAGGAAAAACCCTGACTACACTGACAGGTTTTGCACAAGGAAAAATAGCGCACGCATTGAGAAAACATAAAAATTTGTCACCCTGTATTTCAGAGGGTGAGACAGAGGAAAGTTGCATGATTTCTACACTTTCTTCCATGCATGCACACGCCTAAAGTGAGTGTTTACAGTGTGACAAGAAAGAGGAAAAATTCTCAAGTTTCCTCCTGGAGACTCCCTTATGAAACCAACAACAACACCATCTGGATTTACCCATCTAGCATTGCACATGCTGTCCACACCCCTGCAGGTGAAATCCTGCACAAACTAGTTTATATTCCAGAAAGTCATGCAGGAAATGTAAGACGACTCTGACTTTTCGCAGGAGTTTTTCATTGTTTTCCTCATCTGTCTGAGATCTTTTCCTTCTTCTTCTTTTTATGAGTTTTGTAAGTACTCGGATATTTTCTCTCAGGAAATTCCTCCGTTTTGCGCAACATGTGCGTGATCAGGCTACCTGTCTGTGCTTCTCTGACATTTAAGGTAAAGAAAGAAAAAAATTCCCAGGATTGCTGTGTTTACGTTGTGAAAACATAGCAACAGTATCCAAGAGCAGTGATACCTTCACACCTCTACGGGGCAGACGTTACGCTGTAAGATACACACACTGGGAAGGGCTTGATGTCACAATACGACCGCCCCCCCCCCCCCGCCCCCCCCGCGTCTCGAGATGTACGGGAGTGTGTGTCATATCAGAAAAATGTCCCACAGCACCTGAATTCCAGTCATTTTTAATCTTTGCCAAGTATCTCAATGAGCCATGAGAGGACAAACTGTTCTTGCAGATCTGTGTTTTTCCTCATCTTGCGAGTTTTAATGTTTATATCCACCCAAACAGGAAATACTGGAACTTCCACTTTACATCTTTAAAAAAATTCTTCCTTTTTTGTAAAGCTAGCTGATCATGTCTGGTCTCTCCGCTCCTCTTTTGTTTACCTCTTGTTGCCATGGACACCTTCCGCTTAGAGATCACTGACGCCAGCGTATTGTCAAGCGCTGTACGTTGCCCTCTGCCTGCGTTGTTTGTAAATTACCACTTATCTGAGTCAGTAGGGCGCCTCAGGGGGGATCACGCCCTATAAGCGTGTTTAAGTCATGGAACTCTCCTGTTGCCACAACTGACGTAATAACACGAGCCTCACCCTGCATACATTAAAAAAAAAAACAGGTAACTAATGCGCAGGTTGATGATTTTTTAATACAAGTTAATGCAAAAAGAAAAAACAGATAGTTGTCACACTTTTTACATTCTTGTATATTTCTCTGAATCAATACATCATATATAAACAAATGTGAACCAGATGAAAGACCAAAGTCTCAGGTATATATTTCGTATTCATGTCATTTTCATATCTTGTGTCAGTGCAGAGTTATAAGCGATCAAATAGAGAGGGTGAACATGTGACATGTTGCCCCACCATCGGGTAAGTTGTCCCACTACATGGGGAAAGATGTCACAGTGGATTTTGCAGCTTCTTCTTCTTCCAACTCGGTGTCGTGTAGCCATGCCAACATCTCCTAGGTCCTAGGTCAAAGAGGCTTGCTTCTGAAGGTGGTCTGTAGAAGGGGCAGCTGCTCAGGGTCACCGCACTCACAGGCTGCACTTCCTCATTGATGTTTTAAAGCGACCAACCCCAGTTCTTAGGCGGTTCAGTGTTTTCCATTACCTGGCGGGGATTGGCTACTGGCTGACCAGCTTATTTCAGATCGTACAAAGGTTGCCACGCCATGTTGCTTGCTGTGGGTGGACCCAGCAAAATGGAACCCAAGGATCTTGAGGATGTTGTTGGATGTGCGGTGTGTCTCCTGCAGAAGCAGCTGTCCCGGTGGAATCAGCCAGGTGACGTAGGACTAAAGGTCCTTCCACACCGGGACTGACACTAATATAGAACGCAAAATTACGAAATATTCAGAGGCGAATTTTGACGCGCCTGACTATACACATAAAGGACAAAATGATTGTTGTTCTCATTGTTTTACTTGAAAGTGAACATCAAAGTCAGGCACAGAAAATGTTTATCATTGAGCTAGAAAAAGTCATTAAACGGATGTCAACATAAAATATTATGGAACATGCTCTGGAGTTTGGAGAGCTGTCTGACTCTGTATTTTGGCTGGGGTGAATGTTTTGCAGAACAGAGTTAAGGTATGGTGGTTGACGTTAAAGTCCTTTATTGTCCTCCAGATTGATTTTTTGGCCCGGGTCACCTGTCTGACTGCCCTCAGCATCATGTCAGGTACTGCACTGTCATGTTCTGTTTTTCTTTTGTAAATCCTGACCATGTCTTCTCACTTCCTCCTCTCCTTTAAACCGCTCTTTTCTCTGTAAAAATAAAGTCAAAGTTTCAATATGACAACTGCTGATAATCAGACTCTCTATGTTCATTTGAATCCCTTTTAAACGTGTGACGACTAACCCCAAAATGACTGAGACATGTTGCCCCAAACTACCATGTTTGCTAATTCTCGCTCTAGCTTGAAGTTAGAATCAAACAGAACAATGACTGAGGTATGACAGGACGCGTTAATCTCCCCTCTAACAAGTCCACATGTATCACTGTTGGGATTTTTGTCTGAAAGAAGCTTATTTTAAAATATATAAAGTGAATATTTTTTACTTTGGGTTGTGAAAAATGGTTAATTGGCGCTCATCTCAGCTCACAATGTGCTCTTCTCTTCTCAAACAGGACACGACCCCTGACCATGTAAAGGAAGAAAACTAGTATTTCACTTTTTAGTTGCGCCCTCTGGTGGCAAAGATAATTGCAATGTGACAACTTACCCATGTGACAACAAGCCCTGGTCTCCCCTATTCTTTAGACTCCTCAGCACTGGTATTCAGATGTTAATGCAAAAAAGTAACACTGTAAAAACTTGAAACATAATCCAAACTCTAAAAATATAAAACAAGGGTAGAGAGGGGGGTCATTCACCAGTCAGGGGGGTCATCTGTTTCATTGCAGTCTGTAAGACAGGGCATCATTGTGCATGACGGCGCCTTTTGCATGGCACCGTGGGTGAAGGATGACAAGAACTGAAAGTGCTCAAAGCTCAATGAAAGTACATTCACTCTTTGATGTGTAAAAAGT